TTAGGTTGGAGATATTTCGATTGATATGGTTTGGTAAGTTGGTTATGAAGAAATCTAAGATATCAGGCTGTCTATTTTGATGGGTGGCCAGTAAGTAGGGTTAGGGGGAGAGAGGAATTTTAGGTTTTTATTTTGTATAACATTATGTAGTATTCGACCTCTGGTATTGGTAATTCTAGAGCCCCATTAGGTGTGTTTGCAGTTAAAGTCATCACCAATTAGATAATTATTCCCAATGGAAAGAAGATAGTTCGTAAGTTCGTTAGAGTTAAGTTTTGCTTGAGGAGGAAAGTATGCAGAAGAAATAATCGTTGGAATGTGGTTTAAGATTATTTTTATATTAGTTGCTTGAATAGAGTTGCTCTGGTAAGAAGGTAGAGTAGTGTTTGAGGTTTGATTTTATTATAATTGCTGATCCTGCATGAGCGTTACCACTTGGGTGATCGCAATGGTATGTTATATATCCAGGAAGTTTGAATGAGGAGTTTAAGGTAAGATGTGCTTCGCTTATAAGGATAATATCAACGTGAGAGAGCTGTAGAAAAGCTTTAAGTTCATTTTTTTGTTGGTTTAGACCATTGGCATTCCATAAGAGGATGGATAGTGATTGTTGGATATTTAAGCTAGTTGGCATTTGATTGGGATAGGAGTTTAGTGATAACAGTGGTTAGTAAAGAGATTAAGGGATTAATCAATGATTTAAAGTCTTCCAGGAAAGAAATTAGTTTGAGTGAAATTTGATCAGAGTTATCACTAGGGCTCGGAAGTTATAGGAGTTAAAAAAGGCAAAATATGCACAAAAAAATTGTAAAATATGCATGAAAATATGTTAAATATGCAAAATAAAATTTATTAAATATGCAAAAAAATGTACTACGTATATACAAAAAAAAATATTTTTTATGTTTTGGCTTGTATTTTGTGTTTGGTGGATTGTAATTTTTTCAATCTAAAAATATACATAGAATAAAAGTTATTTGAAAAATTATATTAATTTTTTTTTTAATTCATTAAACATATAGATTATTGTAACCGTCATACCCGTAAATGTATTGCATTGAATAACCAGAGCTTTTTTGATATTTTCTATCTCAAACGAACGACGGTTGTCTGTAAGTACATTTTTGTAGCGCGAAAAACTTCTTTCAATATCCGATGAAGTTATGGGTGCGTATTTAAAGTGTGCCAAGTCATTCCCATTTAAGTCTTCTGGTAGTCCTTCCATTGACGTTGCTTCACCAGTTAAAATGCTTGATATTTTTTTTAAATCATTAAAACCACAGTTTTTTTCCAAAACATTTTTTAATTTTTCTTTGATTGCAGTGCCTGCAACCTAACCATTAGGTGTGTGGGGAGTGATATTCGGATCTTTGGTTGCTTGAGCATATGATTTGGATTGAGAATTCGAATTTGAAGTGGTGTTTACATAAATGGGCTGTACATTATTTGTATTATTTTGTTGAGAATCCGAAGTTGTTTGAGTTTTCTTGGGATTACGAGGTAATTGAATTTCTTTATGTTTGGGACAACCTCGATAGTTTGCTGGATGGTTACCCTGACAAAGCGCACACTTGGCGGGTTGATCGGTGGGTTTTTGGCAGGAATCTGATAGGTGAAGTTCGCCACATCGAACGCATTTGGGTGTGTAATTGCAGTAAGCTTTTGTGTGGCCGTATTCTTGGCACCGAAGGCATTGGACTAAGTGACGTTTAACTCGAGGTTCTTCTATTTTAATTTTAGTGTAGCATAGGTATTCGATTTTGAAGATATCTTTATTGTTTATGGCTGGTTCTAGATCTATGAAGAATAATGGGAGTGGGACCTTAGTGTTATATTGTAGAACGTTTGTTACGTTTCTAGCGATGTGGCCGAGATCAAGTAACTCTTTTTTAATATCATCAAGAGGGGTTGTGTGATGTAAGTTTCTGATTACAATTCTATAGGCTCGATCTTGTTTTGATTGATAAGTATGATAGTCCGCTTTGTTGAATTTTAGAAATTTTATTACTTCTCTGTACGAGTTTAGTGATGTAGTTAGGAATTTAACTCCATTGGTGGAGCTCTTACAAGTGAATGGTTCGCCTTTTGTTAATGATTTAATTTGAGAGCAAAATGATTTGAAGTCATTTACTAGATTAATAAAGATTGGTGGAGGAGGTTTACTCTCAGAATGTTCTAGAATGTCTCCATTAGGGTCGTTATCTTTGGTTTCAGAAGAGTCATTGTTTTGATCGTCGAGGTTTGGTGGACTGAATAGAGAAAAGCGATTTGGCGTTACGAATTGTTTAGTTACTTTCGGTGAATGATTAGGTGAGTACTGACGTTTATGATTATTTTGAGTTTTCCAATCGTCGTTGGAGTTGGTTTCTGATGAAAAAACTGATGAATCATTTGGCACGCTCTGTATGCGTGACTTTTGGATAATGAGTGGAGATACAGTTTTATTATTTTTATTATTAGGCATTTTAGGTAATAGCACTGATTAGGACCGTAGTGGTACGGTCGCGTGTTGGTCAATAAAGAGTATAATGCGATAAGGCGTTAGTCCCGATCGCGGCGAGTCTTATATTTAGGTATTATACATTACCCGACGGTACTATATAGTACCGCGATGAGCGCTGGAAGCGATAGCAATTCGATACAGTACACACGCTATCGAGAGCTGATAAAAGCGGAGCGCGTGGCAATTAACGTGTGGACTGTACGACGTCTAAACACGAACTCCTATTAATTATTATACTTATATTTTAAACCGAAAAATGTCGCTTCTGTTTCACTTGGCGGTTTATCTAAATCACTCTATACCAATAAACAATTTACTATTTATACAAACTACGCCATTACTTACACTTATATCACTTAATCTTTTATTTCTTCTTAATCTTAAATAATAAAAAAAAATAATAATAATAACAATAATAAAACTCATACCATTACCTAACAATCAATAATTAGACAATTACAATGAATTACGTTTCTACCAACATTCATTTTTGAATTGCAACAAAACAACAAATAAAAATTCCCGTTCTTCCTTAATTTTATGATTATTTTTCCAATTATTTTGAAACATATTGGGAATTTTTATGTACCTAAATATACACATTCGAAGCCGCTTATTAGAAACACGAATAATTGATACAATCGCGTTATTGAAACAAAATGTCTCGGGACGGATCGGACGTGGACGTACATTAGAACTTAGAACATTGAAAATAAATCGGGTTATTGAAACATCACATTGGTTATTTGAAACGATTTGGAGAAAGTTGGTTGACATATAGACCGATTATCCGGCGATAACTAATGTTTTTTTATCTTTGCTGTCGTTACGTTTATTTTTACTGTACTTAGTACTTTATCGTAAGAATGCTCTTTCTGTACGACTGTACGTACCGGCCGTACTGTTTGTAGTTTAGCTCCATCTTGTGTACGTAAAGATTATTAGTGTTTCGTTTTTCTAAAAATCAAAAATGTCTAAACGCTAAGATTTTAGCCAATTTTCGTGCGGCCAATCGTGGTTTGAAACTCATTAGACCAATTTGCTAGCCCAATACTGATATTATCAATGCGGACGAAACTAGGCTTTATTTTAGAGCTCTACCTGAACACACATACGCACTCAAAATAAGTGACAAGCCAAAAGGGCAATATTACTCGTATGAAAATATGGTCATGGAGTTACTCGACACAAAAAAAACAAATTACGATTGATAAATATTTTAAATAATATCGTAAATATATATACATTTGTACATACTTTTTTAAATTATACAATATAGATACATACATACATACATTTTTCGCGTACCTATTATTCATTTTTTTTTTCAATCGCTTATTAGAAACAATCGGTTAATCGACACATTTCACCTGTGTTTCTAATAAGCGGCTTTTACTGTACTTAATATGTAATACATCTTATACGTGATATTCTATTTATAAATGTAGTCTGTTTGTCCAAGCGATGTCACGTGTGGTAAATTATTGTAATAGAAGTACCTCTTGGTCTCTTTTATTATCATTAAAAATACATCCACGGTAGATTCAACCATAAGGATTTGAGAAAAAAAATATACGTGATAACTGATATCTAAGGTTAAAATAAAAATAAAATAGGTACCTACTTCTACTGTTGAAGACTCGTGGTTTTATTTATTTACTTATATTATTTAATATAACGTATATATTATAGGCACATTAATACATTAGGTATCTACTTACCTACCGACCAGCTATGATGTCTACCGATATTTTTCTTTTATACATACCTATATAAAATTATTATGTGTAGTCATGGATTATATAGATATAATAAGATTAGTACCTAAATAAAAAAATTCTTTATACGTCTATGATGGATTATGAACAATGACTGAGGAAGAAGAAAGATTTTATTTTGTAAATTGTAACGGTAGGTAGATAGGTACTTGCAAATGTACACGTGACATATTATTCATTACAAATAATAAAAATAACTAAATAATTATGAAAAATGAAGATATGAGACCCTCCAAAAATGTTACCCTACTTATGGTTCGTTAACACGTAGCATAATTCATAATTTTATTTCAATTTACTTTATTACAAACGTCATTTGAAAATAAAAATATGTTACCTATTAATAATTTATTATATTAACTATTATTATCCGTGTTACCAATAATTACCATTGATTATGTACAACACCTAATGATATAATACTATAATAGTTATTATGTCACAGAATAGATGAAAAATGAAAACTAATAACAATTTAATTTATTCTATGGTCTTGTAAGTTGTAAACTTGTAATGATATAACTGACAGTGACAACTGTATAAGATTATGATTTTAGTGATTTAAGATTTTACTACTTTGTTATACCTATTGGCTATTGTCCTAGTCTTTGTTATAGTTTCTCAGATTGTCGCATTTTTTTCCACGGTTCCATTATCAATCTCATGGAATAAACCGACGTATCGTAATCAACGAACATTCGCCGGATGACGTCTAATAGTTTTTATGATAGCTTCAAATTTTAAGTATCATTTAACATATTATTCTCTAAATTTCTCATCCGTATTCCATAGCGCATTGTTCGTAATTCACCATCAAGTAGAAGACTTGTTTGTCGTCATTTCCACAGTCTATACTTCATAAGAAATTGCGTTTATTCTCTTGCAAAAGAAATAAAGATTTAGTCTATACCCTGATGTTACCTCAAGCATAGTTTTCAAAATACCATGAATCAAAATTATTGGAGAATATTTGCTAAACAATTGTTCCTGCTTATTTTTTCATTTGTGAGTATACCAACTAAGTTAAGCATAATCGTTTAATTTATGTATATAATTGTCTTACGGATTGTATTTTTAGGCTTATCTGTTCTACAATCCAGTAACCAGTAATGCTGTTAAACTCCACAGCCAAAATGTTGACATGACATTGGGTAATTATTAATGAATTTGTTAATATTGTTTTGATTGCGAACATCATTAGTTAAAAATGCATTAAATAATAATAACTTCATATTCCTAACTACTGATTTGAATAGACATCTATAAAACACTACGATCTCTACATAAATTAATGTATATACACTTACACTGAGAAACTCAAAATGACCAATCATCTAGTCCTTTTTTTTTTTGCCTTAAATCATATAATTTAAGCTTATATTCAAATATTCTATTTATATTATAAAATATGTTGTTTATCTTTCTGATTTTTTCTTCAAAATATATTTGCATTTTAGAGTTATTCTTTAGAATTTATGCTTAACCACAGTAGCATGTTGATAAAATATTAAAACTTTGTCTTTTATTGATAACTAATACTACACACTGTAACACTTAAATCGCTTAATATTTGATAGTAATAAATATTTAATATATTTTTTTTAGCATCCAATGAGTTAGTTATAATAAATTTCTATGCCGATTGGTGTCGATTTAGTGGTATTCTTACTCCAATCTTTGACGAAGCTGCTGCAAAAGTTTCTGAACTTTATCCAGACTCTGGTAAAGTTGTATTGGGAAAAGTAGACTGTGATAGTGAAAGTAAGTAATCATATTATTTTATACTACTCTGTATATTTAGTAACTAACCTAACTTTGTCTAAAAAAAATTTTTTTTTTTTATTAAAATGGTTAATATCGTATATAATTTTAATTAAATTATGACTATAAAATTATCGACCATAATAATGAGTTTATTTAATTGATATCTATTATTAAATTATTCAAGGAATAATCATGTAAGTTTTTTAATTATTATTAATTTCTCTTTTTTATATTAAAATAATGTTTTTGTAATATTTCTAATTTTTTTATCAAATAGTTTTTTAAAAATATGATTGATTCATTCTTGGTTTAAATCCTAGATTATTTTCAGACAATTTTTTATAAAAACTAAATTATTATTAAAGAAATAGTTATAGAAATAAATATATGCACATAATTAATTATACACATTACATACTATCGTTAGTTATTAAGTTTATTACTATCTACTATAAATATAAATTTTCTTATTTTGTATACAACAATGCATGATTCAAGATAACCCTAAAAGAGTTCATTTAATTTTTAATGTATATTTCAGTAGCTTTGCTGTGAATATGATTAAGGTACTTCATGTTTTTTTTTTTTAAATTAGTATTTTTATCTTTCAGTTAAACTCAAGTATCCCTTTTTATACTACAGTTATTTATATTCAAAATTAAAAATATTTTAAATTCAGTATGTATAATTTTAATTTCATATTATATTTAGTACTTAATATTTTAAACATTATAATTATTACCATTTAAATACTGTCAATTACAATCTAAAATGCCCTTTACATTATTATCTATTCTTATTAAGAATTCTTAGATATGTATATTTTTTAATTTTATGTTTATTTTAATGTAATACATTTAATTATATACAAGAATACTTTAAATTAATATGAGTGTTTAAATATACATACAATTTAAAACCATTATTAAGTACCATGTTTAAATTGAAATTTCCATCTCATTTTTATTGGTTTATTAATATAATCTCAAGTAAATTATAAAACGGACAATCTATGATTAGTACATTGTTATAATTTGAACTTGAGATTTATTTTAAGTTTATTGATATATGTTAATATAACAAACTATTTACTAAAGTATCTTGTTTTTCTTATATAGTTCACAGTTTATGGAAATATATATACATATATAATGATAATTTTTAAAAGTTTTGAAAATTTAATTTACCCCAAAGTTAATACAGGAAATGATAACAAAAAATTCAGACATAAAAATATAAAAATATTCAACTACACAGTAAATGGGGAAAATATCATTAATCTACCTTATACTTAAATGCAAAAAATTCAAATTTTATCGATTTTTTAATTTAAAATTAAGTTTTATATAAAATTAGTTTGTATTGAGCACCTATAAATAATTTAGTCATTACTTTAGCATCATAGTATACACATACTAGTTTAACAATTATTATATGCTGAGGTATATCAAGTTTAATATAATATATATACATTATAGAATGTGTACTATAAATTATCACATCAATTAAATAATGTAATATAATTTTTTAGCTTCCATTGCATCTAGATTCCAAATTACTAAATATCCTACTATAAAAGTATTAATAAATGGACAACCAGCTAAAAGAGAATATAGAGGTAAGCGATCAGTTGAAGCTTTTATATCTTTTGTGCAAAAACAACTTGAAGATCCCATTCAAGAAGTATCAAACTTATTTACTGCGGCTGATGTAAGTTGAACCATACAATAAAAGTGTATTCTTATTTTTTTTTTTACGTTAATTGTTGTCTATAGGTGAAGTCAAGAGTTATAATTGGATACTTTGAAACCAAAGAATCTCAAGAATACCAAATATTTAGAAAAGTGGCAACAAATCTTAAAGACGATTGTATTTTTTATGCTGGAGTTGGGTAATTATTATTATTCTTTCATGTATTTTAATACCAACAATGCAACTAAAACATTTTAATTTACAGTGAAGCATTCCGTGCTATGCATCCACCCAATGAAACAATAATAGAATTCAGACCTGATCGGGCATCTCCTAAATCTGAACATCATACTTTTACAGGAAATTCAGCCGATTATGACTCATTAAATATATGGGCAACAGACAATTGCTTACCATTAGTACGTGAAATAACGTTTGAGAATGCTGAAGAAATCACTGAAGAAGGATTACCATTTTTACTATTTTTCTATCATCCTGATGATTTGGAATCAATTAAATTGTTCAAAGAAATTGTTGGCACTCATTTAGTACAAGAGAAACGTTAGTGTTAACAGTTTAATATTCATAATAATAATAGTAACTATATCAAGTTAACTTCATTAATATATTATTGTTTCAGAGCGGGTAAACTTTTTGACAGCTGACGGCATCAAGTTTGCTCATCCTTTACAGCACCTGGGAAAACGACATACTGACTTGCCTGTAGTTGTTATTGACAGTTTCAAACACATGTATCAATTCCCAGCAAAAAGTGATTACAGAAACCATGAACATCTGAAAATATTCATTGATGATCTGTACTCTGGTAAATTACACAGAGAGTATCATTTAGGCCCTCAAGAAATTTCTGCTATAGAAATAGTTCAAGGTGATAACCAACCTGCGGAACAGACTATGCCACCCGAATCTACTTTCAAGAAATTAGCACCATCTAAGAATCGTTACACATTATTAAAAGAAGAATTATAGCTTAACAATACTATGTGGCATATCGAATTATAACTGCCCTACATGGTTTTAACTATTAAGTTATTGAATTTGTTTCCCATGTGAATCATTTTATTATTATTATTTTTTTTTTTTTTTTTTTGTTCATATTTTAAAATTTACCATTTACATTTTTACTATTGTTTTTCCCTCCAATTTTTTGTCCGTATCTCATACAGATTGTTCCAATTTGATCATATTGTAATATTTTGATTATCATCATAAGGTGCTGGTATCCATTCAAATTATATTATTATGTGTACATAATTTATTAACTATTTAAATTAAATGTCATTCTATTTTTAGGATAATATCTGTTATTTTGCCATTTCAATGCCTATGCACAAATAGAAATTAAGAGAATAATATTGTTATACTAAATTAGATAGCCTAATTGTTTTTTTTTTTTTTTTTTTAGTATTTTTTTTGAAATCTGAACGCTTTAATTTATGACTTTGAATATTCATTTTATACTACATTACGTTTGTTATGTATTGTATGCTAAGAAACAAAATTATGTTGAAATATTTTTTATATAATGCTAGTTTGGTATAACAAAAATGTATTAATTTGGCAGAACTGATAAAACTTTAGATTCAATTAATGAATTGTGGTCAAAACAAAGTTCATTTATTAATTTTCTCATTTAGGAAATTATAATTTACTTTTACTTATAATTATTAATTATTATAAATAACTGTAACCTAGGCACATACACGTTTATATATATATATATATATTATATTATATTCATTAGATAATTGAATACTGAAGTTATTATACCTGTGTAGCAGCATGCATCACATCTTTATTTTGATAATCATTGATATATATTTATATAAGTATGCAAGGTGAATTACTAAGTGCTTATACCCAGTATATCACCTAGCATTTCTTAAATAAATACACATTTATAATGAAGACTTCTAACCGCTATTTAATGATATGATTATTGTAAAATAATAAATTTAATTTTTTTAATTTTTAACAGAATATTAATATTTTATATCTTTGTACAATTTAATTATTTTACAGAATAGATATTATTTTCGATACAAAGTTATCAGATTGTAAAAAATAAAATAATATATTGATGAAAAATTGTTTTTTAATTACACTGTATTTACTAATTATTATGTAATAGGTATCTTCATGAGTGTCCCCAGATATTTTTCTAGGAGGGTGGAGCGAGGAGCCATATTAACTAAAAAATAAATAAAGATTTTTTTTATATATTTTATTTATAATACATTATCATGTTTTGTCATTGTTACAATTAGGTATTATTATTATACAATTTATTTATAGAACATTATTATGTTTTATCAGTATGACACTAAATTATTACAATTAGGAAAAAAATTTAAAACTCTAGGGGGGGGGGGGCAAGTGCCCCGTCTTGGGATGCCCATGGGTACCTTTACATTTTGTATAATTTAGTTATTGTTTTCCATTGTATTTTATATTTATATCCATAAAAAAGCTGGTTACTGAAAATCAAATATGATAACTGCACAGTAGACATAATAATATGTAAATACATTACATACCTACTGAAGGTCTGAACGGTGTATATTGTCAAAACTTTACCAATAGTAATAACTAATATTAGATCAAATATCAATGTTCGAGTTGTGAGTGCCTAAATTTAAGCATGCCGATTATTTTTTTTAACGTATTCAATTTTTTATCGTAAGTTAGAAATAGTTTTTATTACACTCTCATACAAACTACATACCTATAGATAGGTATACATTAATATAGTATATTTTATTGTACGCGTTATGATTTCATAATAAATTACGTTGTATGTGTAACCAATCTCTCGTATTATAATACACTACAAATGATATACTCGACAACAAATAATATGACGCACAAATCAAACAGTAGGTAGGTACAAAAGATCTTCACATCGCCGTACACACACCCCAACGACCAACATCCATGCAACAATTTTGAATAGACTCTTCGAATCACTCAATCTATTTTACATTTTGCTGTCTCAATTCATTTGTTACATGATCTAAACTATTATAATATTGACGAGTTTATCATATTTTTCAGTAGGTACCTAGGTAATATTTGTTATAAATAAATTGTACAGCTAAACTATTGTATTGTTATACAGTACACACTATATATACAACATTGAACGTATACTATTTTAACATTTATGCATCGACAGTCGGAATGCTAACGACAGGTTTAAATTATTAGGCCACTAGGGGTCTTATTTTTGTTCGTGAATACAGACATACCTACGTGTACATGGGTACACGTAGGTATCCTATATAGTGAACACGTAAATTTAATGTAACAAAATAAAACACGTAGATACCTATGATCAGTTAACGTGAATTGATAAATGCTAGATGCTAGAACAAGTGAAAACGTATCGGAGTCGTAATCATGTGAATTCGTTAATCGTGTGAATAATTTTCATTGGTTACCTCTACCGGCTCTACCTATCAACTAAAAACGTAAATTGTTAATTATTTACACCAAAAATAGATAATAATCGTATTTTATTTGAAGATTATTCATAATTTAACGGCTTACTTTATTTATTTGTTAAGCATACTTAAACATATAGACTATAGTTATACTTTGTGTTAGTAATAATTAAATTAATTAAATTTATATTTATGATATGAGTAAAATTATCTTTCTCCTAGGAATAAAAATAGATAACTAAGTGGGTAAGTAGGTAAGTTAAGGCGTAATACAAAATCACGGGTTTACGTGAACATAATTATTCACAGATGCAGGAGATTAATATTATAAATTCACATAAAAATTTTAAGTAACGCGTATCTTATAAATCGAACGTCAATTTCACATGAATATGTGACATAAATAGCACTAGTTTAAACTAATTACCTATACCTAGTTGTTTCAAAGTATACACTAATACTTCCCAAGTGGCGCTCCTGTTTGTCACTAGTCGAAAAAATACAAACAACTGATGATTGCTAAAAAAAATCATGAGTAAATGCCTTCTTCACGATGGTAAAAACACTAAAAACCTGATTATAAAGTACAGTGGTAGTCATCTTATATGGTCTATGTGCTACTTCAGAAAGTATAAAATCTGATTAGTAGATAAGGATTTTTGGATAGTTAAAATAAAAATTTTACACATTAAGGAGTCGTTATAAAATAAATCGTTATTAATCATTAAATGATAGATATTTAACTTAAAATCGCTATAAAAAAAAAAATTATGCTCAAGTATAAATATCCAATGTCGTAAAAATTTGAATTTCAATCTCTCAAAATAAAATGTGTTTATGTGTGCGAGGTGTGACTTACAACTACATTTATTTTTAAATTTCAGTAAACAAATCGTTTGAAAAATCTAGTAGGTATTAAATTTTTATGTTATTTTACTTAAAAAAAAAAACTATTCATATGATACATAAATAAAATAAAACTAAGTGCTAAGTTAAGGTAATCGCCACTCTGTTTCACAGTCCACCGCACAATAGGTATCAAGTGTAGATACCTACAACTTGTAAGTGTAATAGGTGCGTTAAATTTACATTCAATGATAAACCATCGTACACTCAAAGACAGTTTGTCAACCTTTATGGTAGATAACTAAATAGTAAATAGACTGCATAGTGTATGATACATTTATGATTTAAAATGCTAGTTTAGTAATAAATTTTACTTTTAAGTTTTAGCAATATGGTATGCTGGATCTTTTGTAGGTATTTATATTATTTTGACCTCTCTAAAGTACAAACTATAGACCCAATTTATCTATACGGAACCAAAAATGTCAAACCTCTAAGTTGAAAATTGAAGTATTTTTTCGATTGTTTATTGTGTAAATAAAAGTACTTCTCAAAAGAAAACACACTTCATGACAAAATTATTACAATTAAAGATTCACACAGAATCTAAAAAAAGGATAATCGAAAAAATAAAAAGACAAATTAATAATCATTACACATAACACATAAATATATGTGTCATACTTATGGTACATAATTCAATTTATTTATTAAAATATTTAGAATATGTTGGTTGACGTAAACGTGTAATTAATTTCTTATGTACCTGCCTGTCGTCTGAATTATTACAACTAATTAACCCATTATTTATAGGTACTTACATATATTTACTGCTTAATTTTTTTTTTAAGATTATAATTCATTTATAAAAATAAAAAATGTTTAAAAAAGTGTTTTTAAATTTTGATGCCATTTTATTTCATGGATATAAGTATATAGTAAATAGGTAGAACTAAATTTCGGTTTGATCGTCAAAAAAAGATAAATTGTTTGAAAAGCCTAGCAGACAGCGGTAGGTAGTAGGTACCTATAAATATATAAAAAATGTATACAGTTTTTATTTTGATATAATTTTAATCGTAAAAAATGACGTTTAATACTTCAATCCAAATTTTATGATTTTGATTTTTGATCATTACCTATAATATTTTAAAGTGTTTTTCGCAGCTGTTGCCTGTTATACTAATGAAATTTGGAACGTCTGTTCTCTTATCACGAATTCATGGTGGCACGACGCTGATACATAAAAATAATAATAATAATATAACTAATATCATTCAATGATAATAATAACAAATAACATACTTTTAAAATGAACTTTTTCGTCAACCCTCAAATTTCATAATTTAGTTAGACCGTGTGACTGTGTTACAATGGGCGCTACAGCGGCAAACGAACCAAAATCGGAAATTTCCAATTATGTTAAGTTGAACATCGGTGGGTCGTTGTTTTATACGACTGTGACAACGCTTTCAAAACTTGACTCGAAACTTCGCGATATGGTGTTGTCAGAAGTGGCACAAAATGCTGAAACATTGGAATCGGAAGGTATTGATTTCGTTGTTAAATGTTTAATTATGAGTAATATTATGTGATCTGTTGATCTGTGGGCAATTAGGCATTGGCATACCTATTTGATTTATTTAGTTTTTCTACCAACAGGCTGGGTGTTTATTGATCGCTGTGGAAAACATTTTGGCACCATACTCAACTTCTTACGAGATGGTTCTGTACCATTACCTGAAACGTGTGTGGAAATATCTGAGATACTGGCCGAAACCAAATATTACGGCATTTCGGAGCTTCACGATGCATGTGAACAGGCGTTGCAAAAAAAAAGAAGTCAAAATACAAATATAACATGGGTCACATTGATAACGTCACAGAATGAAGCTCAGAAACTGATATCCATATCGTCAAAGGTATTTGTTTCATTTTGGTTGTTCAAAATAGTTTGTTATTTATCACTTACATGTAATTTACATTGTTTTGAATTTTTTTCAACTAGCCAGTGGTGAAATTTGCAATTAATCGTCATAACAACAAATATTCTTATACAGGGTATGTTTGTACGTTACTATATTTTAATAAAGAACTATAAAGTTTATTATGATACGTTTGTTATACAACAGGGCATCTGATGATAATCTGTTGAAAAACATAGAGCTGTTTGATAAACTGGCAGAAAAACATAGAGAACGTGGTCTATTCATTAAAGATGTCATTGGATCAAACGAAATTTGCTGTTGGACATTTTATGGTCCTGGAGGAGCTGTGAAAAAAGTTGCTGAAGTGTGTTGCACTTCAATAGTATATGCTACAGATAAGAAACACACAAAGGTTATGCTTATATTAATACTATTTTTATTAAATTATTGTGCACATGAACCAAACAATAACCTGTTGAATTGATTACAGGTGGATTTTCCAGAAACACGTATCCTGGAAGAGACTATGAATGTCATGCTACTGGACACACGAATCAACAAGTCTGTACAGGAACACGAACTAATAGAAGCCACATCAAGTTCAAATGGTAATTGTCGTTGCTCGTGTTCAAGTCAATGGTCAGATGTACTGTGGGAGAACAGTACAGCTAGCACATTAGAACACAACTGAACACTATGATGCACTAACTTAAAGTTGTAAACTGTTGCTGTTCACTTTTAAATAATTGTCATGTGAATTTATTTTTATTATTGAAAAAGGTTTTAACTAAAAACAGTTTCCTTAAAATTATTGACCACTGTAACAAAACTGATGCAAATTATTACTTAGTGTAATCTTGTACAAGTTGTATTTGTTGAAGGTTGTTAGCTTAATGATCTTGATAACAACAATATTCAAACATATTATTATTTTCTTTAATAGTTAAATTTTTTAGTTAGGTATTTATAAAAATTAAGTCTTATATTATTTTCTTGGTTTTTAAACAAATAAGATATTTGGTAAGTTTTTAATTAAAAATGTCAAAATAATTATTTAATTAATAATATTTACCTACTGCTTTTTAATTAAAATCATACCATTTTTATTTAAAAATTTGGATTTAACCACTAATACAATTTAATAATTTGAATCATATACATTTTATTTAAATTCACATTCTTCCACAGAATATGATTTAAATAAAAGTTTCAGAAATGCATAAAATATTCTTAATACATTGGTGTTATTTAATTTATGAAATAAATATTTTGTTGGCGTTCCTAATGTTACATTATCAACACATACTAATCAAAATATTTGTATGACCTTTTATACTTTTTTTAGTTTCCTCACTCTTCTCAAAGTCTAAAAACTGTTTTAAAAGGTTTCTTTGATTGTTAAATAAATAGTTTATATTATATCTATGTTATGTACATTGTGTACTCAACTCAAAATTGTTCTCTATTTTTTTATTTTTTTTTTTAAATATTAACTTATCTGTATTATTGTATTACTGTAGTAAGGTAGTAATACAGTTAAAGGTTTTATCATTTATTTTGAAATTATTTTAATATATAAAATAATACAATTATACTTATACAAAAAAATACATAAATCAAGATATGTGAATGTCTGTAATAATTGAAAAAATTAAACTGCCTACTCTACAACTACAGTTAACAATGTGTATATTTAACTATACTAATAATAAGTATGTATTATAATATTATATATTTTTTTATAAAAAACATTAATTTTTATTATAAGTTTTATTTTGTTCATAAATTTAGTTCTGTATTACTTATTTTATTTTTCTCCAGTTGAAATTGACCTCTAAAATTTTGAGTAGAAACATAACTATTTAATTACTGTTGTAAATGCAATTAAGTATATATTATTTTATTATATTTTCAGTGGTACTCCAAGATTTACGACTGTATGAGTATACTATGTGTATAATAGTTATACTGCCTTAAAAAGTAAGTATTTGTAGAAAAAAGAAATATCTTGGTAAAATCAATAGATAAAAAACATTGATAAAACCTAATTGGTTACCAGTAGTGCAACTTGACTTTAAGGGGTCCATGTAAAATTGTCTAGATATCTGATATATAGATAGACAATAGATCCTTGACTGTTAATAAAAATGAAAAACATTCACACCTTATTATAAATAAAAATATTATTTTGTCATATATAATGGTATGCTGATATATCATTGTATAGTTTAAAGTTAATAAGTAAACAACGGTCGTCATTACCGCACATTTTACACCGTTCAATACCTAACGCACATATTAATTCTATTGTTAAAAAGGAAAATTTGAAAGGTTAATAGTTAAAAACCGCATACATTTGATTGAAAGTTAAAAATTCAACATATTTTATTGTAAAAAAAAAAAAAAATTTAATTTAAATAAAAAGTAATTTTAACATATAATTAAATTGAAATAAATTTATACCTTAATGTTTTTAAATAATCAATTCAATTTATTTCCTTGGTCATGAAACGATTATATATATTTTTCTTTTTCCTTATATATACCTACTTTACGTGTACGGTTTACGTTGTCGTTTTGTATGATTCTATCTTGATTAAATATGATTAACTGAAGTGTGCGGTATTAAACGATAATGTTATTTAAGATAAATGTATATTACGTTATTGATATAAATTAATGTGTGCGGTATTGAACGGTTTAATTTGGGAAAAACATAAGGGATTAAGATACAAAAATATGCAGTTTTGAACGATGACCTTTTTTTGAAAGTGTGCGGTTATGCATTCATGCCTGCACGCAGATAACGGTTACTTCCAATATAAATTTTTCATCACTGATGAAAGGGATGATTCAAAATTTAAAGATTAGGTACGTAAATTTTGACCCGTATTAGTAATAGTGGGGCGCGAGACGTTTGATATTCTTGTGTGCCACTAGAGACTGGAGATGACCAAAAAAGGGTCTCTACTACCAAGGAGAAAGCTAGTTTTTTGAAAACTCCAAGACCTTTGATGAAGCCACCAGCCACTTTGGTCGACTTGATCATGTAGTCTATTTCACCAGTGCATACGCACCAATAATTCGAGCAACACTTCTCAAACACCGGCTATTGCGAGCGACAAATGCAGGGTTTTACTTTTCAACGAAATAAACCAGTATTATATTTATTTGGTTTTATGTGTTCAGAGAGTTTTTTTATTTGTGCCACCTTCTTCTAATAAATTTAATAATATATACACTGCTACGGGTCGGTTAAAGTTCATGTCACGTGGTCATAACTCATAATATACTCTACATTATTATTATAGCTTATATTACGGTTTACTTGATAAAATTCTCAAATACACGACCTCAATAGATTTCCAAAGATCAGGAAGCAGGAAAAAACGTAAATCTGATATTTGTATCTGGGAAGTGATTTTATTTCCAGCACTTTAGGGAAGTATCTCCCAGATTCAGGCCTTATTATTCTAGACCTAGCGTCCCTTTTAAAACCCTGTTTAATCCTCCCGTCTATAATTTTTACTAGAAAATGTTATTTATTTTATTTTTACGTTATTACACTTGTCATAATTAATAACTATTAAATAAACATATTTTTTGTGTAAAAATTTAAAATCAACTCTTCTTGTTTTTAAGACAACAGGCAATTAAACTATTAATAATTTGTTTATATCCAATAATCCAATTGAACTATTTTTAACATTTCAATGTTCGATGCACCGATGATGGAAAGACGATCTTGCCTCATTGTGTTTCACATGTAATTCTCAATCAATTTTAATTTTGAGTAAGATCTCTCTGCGAGTATCGAAGAAACTGTTACATATAGCGTTACATTTATATAGGTATGGTTACAATTAATTTAACTAGGTATTGTTAGAAAAAATAAAATATTACAAGTGAAAATTCTGATGATAAATAATATTTTGTTAAATATTGATGTTATAAAGGGTAGCAGGAATTGTTGTACCTATCTGCACTCTCTGACACAATAACTTTAAACAGTCTAGCTTAACTGATTGATGAGTAGGATTACTATTAGGATATTTTTTATTTTACCCAGGAGTAAAAACAAAAGCAAATAGGTCAGGTACTCAGGTTTACAATAATTCGTTGACTTTTCACTCGCAACATATTATTTTATTTGTTTATTTGACTAAAATGTCTAGTACGGTTTAAGTCTACATTTATATAAATATGAAAATACCGTATATCTAGATAGCTTATACATGTATAGGTATCTATATATTATGGAAGATATATAATGTATTTAGTGTCTTACCTACGTGAATAATATTATATTATATAACTGTCGCAATGATAATAATAATAATTCTTATACATAACATAATTTATATAGATACATAAACATAATATAATATATTAATATATGATAAAATGTAGAGAGGAAAAAACAATTTTGGTAATTATTGAACTCGTAATGGGTGGTGTGGTGCCCGACGAGGATCTTCGCGTATTAGATGTATTTTTTCGGTATATAAAACAATAATGAGTACATGGCCTTAATGAATAGGTGTATATAATATAATATTATTATGTTTTAAGTACAATAGTTTTATTTTTTATTTTTATAAACGTATATGTGAACTTAAATGCATACAAATCTTAAAATATCTGTAATATTAATTATCTATACCTATGTATAATATTATTAAATAGGTAGTTTGTTCCCCGAATATCGTTTTATACGACGATTATACGCGTGATTACAATCGTTTAGTAAAGAAATTATTTTTTATGTATAAAAAAAAAATCTATATCGACTAATAAAACAAGCGAAAACACGATTTTAATGTATATATTAGTGTTATAATGTATATGTACAATTCAATATTTTATAATAATAATAATAATAATAATATAATTTATAATTTATATTTAGTGGTAAAAGTAATAGGTTATTATAATAATAAAATAATGTTAATTAAAAAAAAAACAATAATAACTAATATAAATAATTATATAATAGACATTTCCGCACGTGTTATATCAAATCCTATGTATATTCTAAAGCATCTATTTCAACGTTTCGGAAAAAAAATGTTATATAATATTAAAGTCATCTTTGTTATAAATATTGCAACGTGATATTATACCATTTAAAATATCGTGTTACATAATATCTACCAAGGATCTATGTACTCGTGTTGGTGTAATGTACTAATGTAAGTGGGTATACACATAGTCGGACAAGTGTGTATTATCTACGTGATATCTTAGGCGAAATTAGAATTTGTTTTGATGGGGAGGAGGGAGTCAGTAAAGTTTTAAATCTTAATGATATCTAGTAATGATTAAAAAAATAAATCATTACAGAAGGTTTTTGTGACGACGATCGCGTAGCGGTGGTATAGAGATGCAGGTGGTTAGGACATATCAATGGCGGGAACGTTTAGAAAATTAAAACGAATTGGCGATTAATTTGGATGCTATCGCGGCCATGGCAGTCAGTAATAAGACGTGTGATGTGACCGGACTTCGGTGACCCGCCGATTTGTCCCACGGCGTAATTGGATCACTGTGTAAACAGAAAAAAACAATTAGTAAATTATTTTTTAGAACACAGATATGAAAAGTCAAAAAAAAATTTCAAAAACAAAAACATATGTAACAGTTTTATATTATATATATATTATATAACACATTTCAAACACAATTTTAAATAATAGTTCCATACAAATAAATATCTATGGTTTTAATGCCTCAAATATTATGTTCGAATTGTATAATTTACGATGCAAATATTCGATACATTTTTAAAATTCTAAAAGATAAGTGTTTTTTTTTTTGCTTGTTATTTTTGTCTATCATTTGGAAAATAAGACCAATAATAGTAATCATTTACCGAAAATACCGTCATTTTGTATTTCATTAAATTAAATATTACACCAAGTTATATAATTATTGTTTTGCAATTTCTTAAAGGGGACTTCGTATTCTTCAAAAAAATGTCAGCTTTATGACCATAGAGAGTGTATAATATTATGTATGAACTATATAAACATACAGTGATGATAAAAACGGATTAAAAAGCTTCCAATTACACTATATATAATAAATATATATATAGATATGTATATTATATGCGCGTTCAAATTCCCAATGTTTCACGATCTTGACGATTTTGTCAAAGCATTATATTTTCGACGACATTTACGACACTCAGACAAAATTAAATTGATCCGAATTCCTCCGCTACAACCGTAACAATATAATAAGCAGTAACGTATATTATTATAAGTAAGCGCCATAAGGACGGAATATGATGGTTCCATCTGTGACAACTATATTAAATATATATATATATATAATATGTAATGTAATAATATAATAATGCAGAGAGAAGATCCCGCCCGCTCGACGACCGACGACAATAAATGCTCCGTCGTTGTTCCGTCGGCTTTTGCAGCGTACATTATATAGGAAACGCGAAAGTTTTGCAGAACAAACGAAAGTAAAATAAATACATACATATATACGTATATATAATACATATATGGTTTTGCTGGTCGCCGCTGTGGGATTATCGCGTACTTATACATACAGATATAAAGTGCGCGTCTGGTTTATAATATACACATGTGGCGGGCACATATTATAATATAGATAGGATATTCGAATGTGCGTTCTGATATACCTATAAAAATTTTCGGTAGTGTACAACATTATTATTGTTATTATTATTAATGTTATTATTACTATTATGCTAATAATTCGGACACGTATAGGCCGCGACCGCGAACAGTTGATTTTTGATTATAATATTATTGCGATTTTCCCGAATATCGTACACCGAATTATATGATTATGGTGTGCGTATAACGACGAATGTTATTGAGCGTCTGAGCGCGTCATAACATCATAGTAAAGTAATACTATTCGTACGGTCGAATTCCGGAGAAACTTGATTTAACATGGTTTCGGTTTCGAGGATTTCGTGATATCGTTTCCTTTTATTATTATTATTATTATTAATATTAAATGTCGCGTTTAAAAACCATTACAGACGAGTATAAATACGTCACATAATATATTATTATAATGTTAGATTAGGCGAACACGTATGGTCGGTAAATACTATATTAAATTATCATTATTATTACATTACAATAATAACACAGTCATTGCGGGATTATCATCCGGTATCCACTATTGCATAAAATTGCATACACGATATCGATATGTCATAAATATTATAATATAGGTATTATAATATATTATTTTATGATATTTATTATATTATCATGATATTTTCATATCTTTAAAAAAATATTAGGTTTACAATAGTATCGTAATACTTGCAAGCAGGCGACAACGTGTGATGTGTCTGCAGCGTGTATATCAAATGAAAACTAATGTTTAAATTAGAAGTCGAGAGAATAAAAAAAATTTCTCGGTCATTATAATAATAACAATACATACAAATCTTTTTATTTTAATTCTGACCTTGGAGGTATTAGGTGAGAAACCATATTAAGAATACGCAATATTGATCTCCAAAAAACGATGTTTACTCATTAGTGATTGCTATGATTTTAGGTTAGGTTAGGTTAGTATTTTTTCTATTCTGAAGTCTGACTAAGTAATCGCTATTTAACTAAAGCCAGTGCTCGCGAATTAGGAGTGGAGCTCTTATATTAATTTTTAAACTTAATGAGCATCTGTATTGATTAATTTTTATTAGAACATGAAAGCAAACGTTAATTAACGTACGAGACGTACGCTATTTTTACAAAATACTTTTTTTAACTTAGGTACATTATTTTTAATTTTTTTATATCACAAAAATCATATTGAATAAAATATTTAAATTCAATTTGATTGAACTAAATATTTTTTAATATCATTATACGATAACAACTACCTATGGATTACAATTCAATTTTTAATTAAAAAGAAATATATAAATTAATATTTATTCAATTAATCAAAATTATTTTTAATATTAAAGATTAACTACCTACATATTATTCTTCAAAAAAATGTTTTTTAATCGCTATTATAATGGTATTTGTTATTGGCACACTCGTATATTATAATTATTAATTGTTTGTGTATTTTTGCTAGGGGTTGCAAAGATTTTTGCTTCGTCTCTCACAAGTTAGGGAGGTCAATAATTTCAAAAGATCTATTTTTTTTTAATCTAGAAAACTAACTAGATACGCTTTTTCTATGTTTGTCAATATTCAAGAACTATAAGCAGTCGGGAGTATACGCAGAAATTTTCTAGAGAGAGGGGAAATGTGTATATAAAAATATTTATATATACCTTTAAAAATATACTCTATAGTCAATACAAACATTGAACAAAAAAAAGCGGTGGAGAGTAGAGAAATGTCCCTCTTACGCGCAGCATTCAGGTTATTGTTAATGTTGACGTTGTTAAAACGCACATGAACACATCGTGTCATTATCGCTATACACGCAAACGTATAATATATTAGTACATATAAACATAGGTACTTTATAGATAATAAACTGTTTGACCTGTTTGCGACAGACGAAATCAATAAAAACTTAATGATAAAAACATATTAATGTATATAAATGAATCAAATGTAAAAATAAAAATAAAGAAAAGGTCAAAATCGCACTTCCGTCACACGTACGTTATGCTCACAATAATATTACAAGCATATATGCATATAAAATCTCGCACCCTAATGAACAGTAAGTGCAGTAGTTCTTAATACTCTATGACCTAACCATAATAAATAACGCGAAAAGGCTCGACTTGTTGCCTTTTAAGTGAATCGAATAAATAACATGCTTGTAAATATGCAAAGCGGTTACTATATTTAATTCTCGATTGTTTTTTATGGACGCATATATTATAGTAACCACCCTGTAGTCGAGATGTACGTATTATTGTACTGTTTGTACTTATTCAATTATATACGTTTGTCAAAATAACAAACAAGTAAAAATAAATAAATAAATAATACAAAGCGCGTAAAAAATTGAGTGAATATTAAAAAAAATCGTATTTATTATTTTATTACTATTTCGCTAAAACGCCTCGTCGTCGACATAATTAAATTTCGTCGGTAAAAACTTCGCGTTTCGATTGAATCGAATTAACGGCTGTTCACGCGCGCCTTATGAAAATAACTAAGCAGTAAGCACCAGCCATAAGTACCTATAGCTATACAATATATACATATTATATAATATATGCTGATTATTTAAAAAGGAGGATTTGTCTTTTCCGTTTCTCCATGAGCGGGTGACAAATAATTTGCATAATCCACGCTCCGACCCGTCATTTTTATTAAGTTAATAATATGATTTTAAAACGAGAAAACCTGGGGAGCGCGACAGTTAAAAAGACAAAGTTATTCAACGAGGAAATCGAAAAAAAATATTACCAATTTATTGTACATTGATTATAAATGATTATAGTGATTATAGCTTTTATTTTTTTAAGGGTTTAAAGTTTTTAATTTTATAATTTTATATCAGTTTTGACATGGTCGTACTGATCGCAACAATGTACATAATCCATATTATATATACGAAAAAAAATGTTTTGATAAAAAAAAAAGTGATAATAATTATCTATACAATGTATACATATAAGGTTTAATATTATAAATTTTATGAACTTGTAATACTGCAGTCTCTCTCTCTACCGCTGTTCTCACCACGAATGACAATAACGGATATAAATATACATAACATAATATGAAGCGAGTAGGTTATGTGCACAGCATATTATACGCTAAGGATGTATGTCTATGTGTAGTGGGATATGATTTATAACATCTTTGGCACTTTATCGGGTTTCATTGTTATACGTTTTTAAGGGGTGGCAGTTTTCGTCAAAATTTTCTCGAAATTAACCTCCTGCCCTTCGTCGTCGCCGTGGTTTATACATTATAATATTATATGCCATTGAGTTTATACATAAAAAAAAAATATATATATAGTATATAGTATTATAATATTATTGAGTTGCCAGCGGTGGCTTGGTAGTTGGGTCTTACGAAAATTCATCTCTCTTTCTCTCTCTATGTACGTATAATATTATATATCATACACTTCCGACGTTTTCAAATTTCATATTATATAACATATATTGTTATTATTATTAAAACACACTCTATACAATGTCGACGGGGACGTGTATAGTGTTTGTGGGATGTATATACATATATTGGTACCTATATTATGATGTATATTGTACATTGTATACCATAATATAAACAACGAGATATGAATGGTCCTTACTGCCGCCAGTCGAATTGTACGTATAATGTAAAAATATAAATATTAATATATTTCTAAGCAGTTTAAGAGATTGTTAATCAATGCCCGCTGTTTATTAAACATATAAAAATATTTATATACTGTAAAACCGACATTTTTGTTTGTTTTAAGGCCTAAGCCAATAATGATGAAATAAATTTCATTATCGTATTTTAATTTATATAATATATAAACCTAACACACACACATACACATAGTTTTTATTAAAAACAAATAATATACTTAAGTGGATGCCACATCCGTATGTGT